TGTGAGTGGCTTGTTTGTTTGTAATACTTTAAGCAATAAAACAAAAAATTTTTAAAAAAATTATGACATTCCCTTCCCCTCAAAAGGTGGTGCCTAACTGCCCTCCCCTTGAGTGTGGGCTAAACTCACTTGTAATGAATCAAGCTCATTTAGGTAACAGCACTCTGCAACTTTAGAGACTAGGTTATTACAGCATTGTGGCTTCATTGTGTGAGTCATCAGCATGGAGATATCATTAAAGACTCAAGAATACTTAGAAAAGTGGGCAATGGGACAAGAAGAAAAGGATAAAACTTGGGGAGTGCCCACAATTTAAAGGAACCCCAAAGGAACCCAATAAAGACACTGTGGAGAGGGGTAGGGAGGCAGGAAAATCAAGGCAGTAAAGGATCACAAAAGACAAAACATTTTTTATGACAAAAAATGTTTTAAGGAAGAGTGAAATCAATATTACAAAATGCTGCAGAAACTCAAGGAGAGACTTGGTACAAACTACAGAATAAAAGTGGCATATGACCCCAGAACCATTTCATACAAAGATCTGTGGGAAAGTTCATTTTAATTGGTATGTCATTTAAAATATTTTTATGGTAAAACAATTACACCATGAAGTAGGATGAAAAAATTCAACAAATTTTTGGGAAGAGAAAACGTAAGACTTCAGAACAATTCCTTGCTAGGAAAAGACTGCTTTGAGCTATGTTCCCAGGTGCCTATATGCATTTTTTTCCCCATTCAGGGATCCTCCAGAAAATGTTTAATTAACACTGAAGTAGGAAAAGAACTAAGAAACTACTAGAAAGTGGTTGGTCTTCTTTTTAAGAGCGTAGTTTTTTGTAAATGGTGTGGGGAGAATTTAAGATGCAGGGAAGACCAGAGTGGATAATAAAAGCAGAGGGTTGATTTTCACTGTTAAGTGGTAAAACGGAGCTTGGGGTTGGACATTGACAGGTTTTTTTTTTTGGAGAGGGGAAATCTGAGTACATTACTAAATTGAAATGAAGAAAGCTATGGGGAGGATGAGTTATATCTGAGGAAGAAAATGACTGATAGAGCAAAAGCATCAGAAGAAAAAAAGGATGGATCAAAAAGCCAAGAGGAGTGCCCCTTAGGAAGGGGTAGGGCTATTCAGTCCTCTGAAATCAGGGGAATTTTAGCTCCATTTACTGCTGCATACCTTGGATTTGGGGCAGTGCTAGACAAACACTAGACCCAAATAAATACCTGCTGGATTAAAATGAAATAAAACCTCCCTATGAGATTGTGACTCCAAAACAACAATATCTGAAAGTTTATTTTAAAAATAAGTTCTTACATTGTATTATCCTTTGATTCTTCAAATGCATTTAGTTCTCGGATGAGAAACTGCCGGTCCAGTGGAACTACAGGTTGACCAGATTCTAGCGGGGGGGGGAATCATAAAAACACTGAGTATCAGTCTAAAAAGCAAACATAATTTTGTTAAGAAACATACTTACTAGATATACACGTTTTTCAGATTTTTGGAAAATAATGATGGCAGATGCAACGTATGCTTTTATGACTTTCAAAATATTTTGTTAAATATATAGCTTAATACAGGTGATTTCATCTAAACTCATTTTTAATCTAATTTTTGGTTAGAGAAATACTGTTTCTGCAATACTAGGCTTCAGCAGTCTGTTTTTGTGAATTCAACACACGCCAGTACCAATATCCATTTGGTGGCAATAACTCTAAAAATAAAATTAACCTGAATATTAAATGCTGGCAAGGATATAGGGCAACTGGAAACCTCATACTTTGTTGGTAGGAGAGCAAAAATGGCACAGGCACTAGCAAAATAGCTGAACAGTTTCTTATCCAGGTAAACATATACTTACAACACACAACCCAGCAATCCCACTCTTAGCTCTTTACCCAGCAGAGAGTAAAACCTATGTTCACACAAAAAGCTTTTGTGAATGTTTATGACAGCTAGATTCATAATTGCCCAATGTCCATCAACTGACACAATGGAATGCTATTCAGGGAAAGAAAAAAGTCAACATGGCTGAATCTCAAAAGTATTATGCTGGGAAAGGAAGCCAACTCCAAAGTCTATATCCGATATGGTTCTATTTATAGGACATTCTGGAAAAGGCAAATGATAGGCAGAGATAACAACAGGTCAGTGGTTGCTAGGGGTAAGGAGTAGGTAAAGAAGTTGACTACAAAGGGCACAGAAAATTTTGGGGGTGATGGAAATGTTCTACATTGTGACTGTGGTGGTAGTTACACAATTGTATGCACTTGGCAAAATCCACAGAACTTTATACTAAAAAAAGTAAAGTATATTGTATGTTGTATATATCTCAATTTTTTTAAAAAGCCAAGGCATTTAATATGAAACTTGACTATTGTCACTATATTTCACTCTAGGGAAGCTCAAATCCAAGACATGTAATTAATGGTATTTTCATAATGTTCTTCTTTTCTGAGTATTAATGGTATTATTCAAACATCTATAACAAAGGGAGGAAAGTGGAGATACTGATATTAAAGTTCCTGAAACCAATAAAAATTATCAGTTTTTATTAAGACGTGTTTAATATTAAATAAAAGATCTGTAATGGAAAGTTCTGGCATCACAAAGAATTCATTCTCTCTTCCAAAAATCTACTTTATGAGTTCTTTTCTTTGAAGAGGACATCTTTAAGTCATGAAATAGTTTTAAAGCATAGATTAAACCTTAAGGGAATTAGCTCTGGAAATGTGGGTCAGCTGGTTGGAGCATCGTCTCATACACCAAAAGGTTGTGGGTTCGATTCCCGGTCAGGTCACATACCCAGGTTTCGGGTCTGATCCCCGATTGGGGCATGTTTGAGAGACAATTGATCAATGTCCCTTCTTCCCTCTCTAAAAAAAGGCAAACAAAAACACACAAAAAACCTTAAGGCAGTGGTTCTCAACCTTCTGGCCCTTTAAATACAGTTCCTCATGTTGTGGCCCAACCATAAAATTATTTTTGTTGCTACTTCATAACTGTAATGTTGCTACTGTTATGAATCGTAATGTAAATATCTGATATGCAGGATGGTCTTAGGCGACCCCTGTGAAAGGGTCGTTCAACCACCAAATGGGTCTCGACCCACAGGTTGAGAACCACTGCCTTAAGGGCATTAAAAGTATGTACAGGGTGGGGCAAAAGTAGGTTTATATGTCCTAATCACTCAGATGATTTTATGTCCCAGTCACTCAGATGACGCTGTTTTGTAATGGAATTAGATTTTCAGGCTAAATACTTAGAAATGGTGGAAGGGAAGAAGATTTTGCCTCACATGACTAATGATACCTCTTACCTGCTATGAGAACAGACGATGTATACTTATATTTGTTGAATTCCAAATACTCCCGGATTAATTCATTAATAAGAAGGTTTTCATGAGACAATGTTGGTCGGGGTTCACTTTCATCATCTAGGGCTTTGAAAACTTCGGCTCGAATTCTTGCTTTTAAATGCCCTAAGACTCCTCTTTTTTCCAAGGTGTCCTTTAAAACTGTTCAATATAAAACATTAATGCTTCAACTATAGAATAAACTTTGTCATTCTTAGGCTTACTTTAAAGAAAATGATTTAAAAAGGTAAATGGCCTAACAACAGCTTTCAATCTCAACACTGTGATGAACCGAACAATGATCACATTAGCTATCACAAGCCATGTTTGTAATAAAAAATAAAGTCCCCAAGTTGCAATGATGTACTATTTTAATATATTTAAACAAATTCAAGTTTATTCTTCCAACATTGTCACATTCCTGGTTGAGGAAAAAAGGGGAAATAGAACTATAGTCAGCACACTGGGACCTGAACCTAACCTCCAGTGTCTCATATATTTTCTAGAATATTTATCACTGCAGACAGGTTCTGCGTGTCCCTAAAAACCTCTGGTCCAGAAAAAAAGATGATTAAAGATTATAAGTACACTCCATAAAAGGAAGGCATGTGCCCTGTCTTTTGTATAAAAACCTTTCATATCCAGAACTCTTGGGGAATGGCTCATTCTAAATGAAAAGGTGGGTTTTATGTTAGGGCTTTTGTTTGTTTGTTTGTTTTTTAAAGACAATTATGCATTAATTCCTTAAAACAAAAGGATTTTGAAATTTTAAGCCTCGTTAGAAATCTAACACAGAGTTTATCACTGCCCTCTTGAGAAATCAAGCCTATATATGCTCAATGTAACCTAACTTCTTGATGAACAAGGGTCATTATAACAAATATCAGCAGTTGTGATAATGCAATTGAGCAATAAATATTAGTATGGATAGTAAAGGCAAGGGCTGAATTGGCACCATCACTTGCAGGGGTCTACAACCTTCTTTTTGTTTTCAAATTGTCCCTAATGGCTAACTAACTAAGAACTCCAGAGCACCAACACATCTCACCCACAGTGCCTAGAAGACCAAAGTAAGAGCTCAATAAATGCTACCTAGGAGCATTATAATACAGTGCTGTATACTACTGGATGTAATCAATATAGTTTAATACTGTACTGTGCCCTGTCAAAGGCACCAAATAAGTAAACAATAATGAAAATTCATAAAGAGAGTCCAGGAACACAAGTATTTTTTAAGCTTTGATAAATAACAATAAAAACCCTCCCTGGCCCTAGCCGGTTTGGCTCAGTGGATAGAGCACTGGCCTGTGGACTGAAGGGTCCCAGGTTCGATTCTAACCAAGGACACAAGCCCTGGTTGCGGGCTCGATCCCCAGTAGGGGGCGTGCAAGAGGCAGCCTATCAATGATTCTCTCATTGATGTTTCTATCTCTCTCTCCCTCTCCCTGCCTTTCTGAAATCAATAAAGAAATATACTAAACAACAACAACAACAAAACAAAAACTTTGCCTGGTCAGCATGGCTCAGTGTGTCAGTGTTGACCTATGAACCAGGCACCGTTCGATTCCTGGGTTCGACTCCTGGCTGGTCCGGGTTTTGGGCTCAATCCCCAATGTAGGGCATGCAGGAGGCAGCCAATCAATGATTCCCTCTCATCATTGATGTTTCTATCTTTCTCTCCCTCTCCCTTCTTCTCTGAAATCAATAAAAATATATATATTTTTAAAAACCTGGTCATATAATTAAAGAGATACAATCTAGATGAGACTTTAACCTTACCCTTATTTTAAAATCATCCTCTCAAACTTTTGTGCAGGCATGTTAAGTACATACAGTTATCACCAAATCAGACTTTGTAATAGGCCCATAAAAGGAACGTACAAACTTATCGTATTCTTGGGATCGTAACCTAACCCCTGTTCTCTAATTCCATCTTTGGAAGTTTCATAGAGATATTTTTTCCACTGGCAAGGAGGATCTTGTCCCAATTACTCTGTAAGCACACAGCACAGCCTCAAACTCAGCCGAGAAATGAATGAAGCTGGAATTAAGAAACCTAGCATATCTCACCACCACTTCGGGGGCTGATCGCCTCCTTGGGCCTCAGTTGCCTCTCCAACAAGATTCTGCTTCTCAGAGACAGAACCAAGTGAGGTGGGAAAATGTGAAAATGCTTTAAAAAAAACCACAACAGCTCATAAAACATACGTGATTGGCAAACACATTTTCACTGAGTTTCTCGGACACAAAGCATATTCAGAACTGGGGCATGCAGAAAAAACCCCATAAAGGGCTCCCTACCTCTGTGCGCAACACCCCCAATTCCCCACTCACAGAGTTCTTCTAGGGTCCCGTTTCATTTTGCCCTTTCCTCTGCTATCGTGCTTAAAACAGTGCCATAACCACTTCAGAAACGGGCTCACCCTGACCGGTTTGGCTCAGTGGATAGAGCGTCAGCCTGCGGACTGAAGGGTCCCAGGTTCGATTCTGGTCAAGGGCATGTACTTTGGTTGCGGGCACATCCCCAATGGGGGCGGGGGAGTGTGCAGGAGGCAACTGATTGATGTTTCTCTCTCATTGATGTCTCTGACTCTCTCTCTTCCTCTCTGTAAAAAATCAATAAAATATATTTTTTAAAAAAGAAGAAATAAATGGGCTCATAACCTGGTGTGTAACCCTAAGCATAACGCCTCTGAAGTTGTGTGCAATTCTGTGTGAGCTGCTTCCCAGGGAGAGGGCGCACCGATTTCCGGGAAGGCTGTTCTTGCGGGAAAGGCATGCCCAGGGCCACAAATATACATGCATGCCCACCGCAACTGATTCATCTCCAAGAGATGCTGACCCTCCCGCGAAAGCTCCGAGAATCACTGACTTCAGGCCCCTGAAAACTGGAACTGGTTCCAGGAGTGGGGCAGTGCCACGCCCCATCAAGACCTGAGCTCCTGCCCTGGCTGGTTTGGTTCAGTGGATAGGGCATCAGCCTGCAGACTGAAGGGTCCCAGGTTCCATTCCAATCAAGAGCATGTACCTTGGTTGCAGGCACATCCCCAGTAGGGAGTGTGCAGGAGGCAGCTGATCGATGTTTCTCTCTCATCGATGTTTCTAACTCTTTATCCCTCTACCTTCCTCTCTGTAAAAAATCAATAAATTAAAAAAAAAAAAGAAGAAGAAGACCTGAGCTCGGGTGCAGCGTTAACGGTCCTCACGCTCCGCCTCCTTCTGGTTGGATCATCTGGGGGGAGGGGGGCGGGCGAGCTATTTCACCTCGCAGCACCCCAACTTCCTCATCTCTGAAGTGGGCACGGGGTTGTCAGTGGGATCAAGTACGTACGTAGCACAGGGGCCGAGCCTGGCGTATAAGGCTCAAGCGCCGGCAATTATAATCATGACTACTCCCGTCTGGACATCCGCGCCAGAACTAACGGTGCACAATCGTTATCAGCCTAAGGACTCTCGCCTTTGCGGAACTTTTCCCACAAAGACAGCAGAATGGCCAGGCCGGGCAACTTTCTACCCCCCGTTTCTCCCGATGGAAAACCGGGCCCTATCTCCCAGGTTGCAAGGATGCAGAAATGGCTTAGGGTCGTGCCTACCACCTAGAATGGTTGTGGAGACTTGCATACATGATCCTCGCGTGGACGGCCCACGCCAAGGCGGGTCCAGAAAGAGGCGCCAGAGGCCCCAGGCGCAGAACTGCAGACCTCCCAGGCACCTGCAGATTCTGCGACTCCTGCTCCAGCTCGAAGCCGGTTTAAAAACTAACCCGTGCAACCCGTTCCTCCAGGGTCCTAGCACAGCGGCCACCACAGCAGCCGGCTGCGCAGGCCCTGGCGCCGCAGAGAGACCGCCCGGAAAGGCTGACTCCTCTCCGCGCGCCCTCCTTTCGACCCATCCTTTTCACGGGCTGTGGACCAGCTGCATTCCACCTGGCAAGCCCCCCACTCGCACTCACCAGCCTTCAGCTCGGTGACGGTCGCCATTTTTAACGGCCGCCAGGGGCGCGTCCCGGCGCTGCGCACGCGCAGCCCCGCCCCTCCCCGCCCCGTAGCCAATAAACGCGCCGCTCTCGCCGCGCCCGGCCCCGCCCCTCTCAGTTGACGCGATTGGGTGGGCGGTGACTGTCCAGAGACCCCAACAATTAGCAAGCGCTCTCGGTGGCGGAGGAAGGAGGGTGGAGGCAGGAGGGAAGGGGGACGCGGAGGCAGGCAGGTCGGAAGCCTTACCTGTGGGTGTTGCTGGTACCTTAGTGCTTAACTTTAGCCCCGTCAGCCTTTCCTGATCTGCCCACTGCTCGTCTCTGCAGCCTCAAGTACTAATTGTTAATAGTTACCATGTATTGAGCCTGAGCTTTTAAAGCTTGAGCATGCATCAGAAGCATCTGGAAGACCTCTTATAAAACAAGTTACCCTGGAGTAAAAGAATTGCATTTCTGACAAATTCCAGGTGACTCTCGGATGCTGCTGCTCTGGGGATCACACCTTGGGAACCACTGCATTAAATGCTTACTATGAGCCTGACACTGTGCTTAATGCTTCATTGATTTTTTTCCCCTATTATTACTCCCAATTTGCAGAGGAGAAAACTTGAGCATTTGATAACTGAAGAGACTTCACCAAAATCACCAGCAAATGGTGGAGATGAGGTTCCTGGCCTCTTGCTCTTCAAAGCTTATTCCCTGCCACTGATTCGTACTAGTATTAGGCAAATGCATAAGAAGCCCAAGAGCTATTTGTAAAAATAATTGATGAATGAATAAGCTCTAGCATCCCAAGGAAATGAAGGAAAAGGAAATGGTAATAATGTACCCCAAACTGAAGTCCTATGAGTCCAGTTGTATTGCCAAGAAGGCCAGTATCTATGACCTCGATCCTAGAACAGTGCTCTTTAGACTGCTGGTCTTAACCCAATAGTGGCTTTTTGAAATCTATTTATTGTGGATCCCAATGAGCATATTTTCAATGAAATGGAATAAATAGGAAACAAGTGTTGTTTTTTTGAAACTTTTGTTTGGGATATATATGTTTATTCTGGTTCCTGGTGTATTTCCTAAAGTAGGTAGCAGTCAAAAACTTTGAAAGCCATTGTAACCTAGAGGAATCCATTTCTGTTCCAAACTAATTTTGACCTGGGACACAGATCTGTCTTGTTACCTTAGAAAGGTCCTGCCACACTTCCCTATTCTGCAAAACCCACAGTACCTGAATTCCTGGCCAGCATCTGAAGAGATGGACAAGGTTTAACTACATTCTATAGGTAGAATGTTTGAGCTCTTCAGAGAAAAGCACTCCTGAATATACTGATGATGAACTCAGAGGGAGAGAGAGAGAGAGAGAGGCAAACAAAAATGGAATGGATTGATTAGTAGTAATCATACAATAATTAACAGCCATTGACACTCTGTGTGGCAGGCACTGCTCTACGCTGTACTTTAAGTCCTCAACAACAACTCTATGAAGCAGATACACAACAATCATCTAAAGTACAATTTCATTTAAAAAAACATACTGAAATTGAGTAATACACTGTGTTGGTGAGGAGGTGGGGAAATGTGCATTACATACCTACCTGGTAGGCGGGTAAATTGGCTCCACCTTCTCAGAAGGCTGTTTGGCCATACTTAATCAACTTTTCACACCCTTTGACCCACCAATTCTAGTTTTAAGAATGTACCTTACAGCCCTAACCGGTTTGGCTCAGTGGATAGAGCGTCAGTCTGCCAACTGAAAGATCCCAGGTTCGATTCTGGTCAAGGGCATGTACCTTGGTTGTGGGCACATCCCCAGTAGGGGGTGTGCAGGAGGCAGCTGATCGATGTTTCTCTCTCATCGATGTTTCTAGCTCTCTATCCCTCTCCCTTCCTCTCTGTAAAAAGTCAATAAAATATATTTTTTAAAAAAGAATGTACCTTACAGCCCTAGCTAGTTTGGCTCAGTGGGAGAGCGTCAGCCCACGGATCCTTCAGTTCCATCAGGGGCACGTACCTCAGTTGCGGACACAATCCTAGCCCCACAGGCAACCAATCGATGTCTCTCTCTAATGGATGTTTCTCTCTCTGTGTCTCCCCCTCCCTTCCACTTTTTCTAAAAATCAACAGAGGAAATATCCTCGGGTGAGAATTAACAACAACAAAAAGAATGTACCTTATGGAAACAGTCCCACCTAATTATGAAGGATGTGTGTACAGTATAAAAATATTCATGAGTATTCATTGCAGTGCTGCTTATAGTAGAAAAGTCTATTTACCTATCAGAATGGCTGAAAGAAAAACAAATGTCAATAAAAAGATTGAATACTGGGGAATATGCATATTTTGCTGGTGGTATAGTCACCTCAGAAATCAGTTTGGCAACTGCTTATTAAGTCAGTGCTTTTACACTACAAGAGTTGAGTACTTAAGGCCTTGGTCAGATACCTCAGTTGTTTAGAGCATTGTCCCAATAAACCAAGGTTGTGGGCTCAATCCCTGGTTAGGGCACAAACAAGAATCAACCAATGAATGCACACTAGTACTTAAGTAGAACAACAAATGAGAGAGAGAGAATCGATGTTTCTCTCTCTGTCTCTCCTTCCTTCCTCTCTCTCTCAAAAAGCAACAAATAAAATTTAAAAATGAAGAGTTGAGTAATTAAAACAGAGACCATATGGTCCACAAGCTTAGATTATTTAAACTAAGGAAAAGTTTGCCGATTCCCGAATTATTCTTCTATAATAGAAGGGGCAAGGGGTGTATTTTTAACACATCAACCATTGTTATAGTCTGAGCAATAAACATAGCAACTAACATTTATGAAGCATGTGTTATTTTACCTCATCCTAAAAACAACGGGGAGGCAGGTATTACTATCCCCATTTACAGAGAAACTGAGATGTGGAGAGTTTAAGTAACTCTGAGTAAATGGCAGAGTCAGGACTGGACTCCAAGTCCACTGGCCACATTCAGCTATTTCATCCTGAAATAAAAAGCACTTTCTCCCTTTCCCTTCCCTCCACCGCTGGGCCTCTGCCTATGCCCTTCCTTCAGCCTAGAAACTTGTTAATGTTCTTTCCTCTCACGTCCTAGTTAATTTCCACTCCTTCAGGTCTGAGTTTATACCTCATTTCTTCCTAAACCTTCCCTGGCTCTATTGTGTTCCCCTTCTTAGATCTATTTTGGGGATTTGAGGGGCTGAGAAAACGAAGGGGTATAGATACAGGAGAGATGTACCACACCTATCCTCCCCACGCCCACACCCAGGCCCAAGGCCTTCTTCTTGGGGGCAGATCATTTCAATACCTGGTCCATGTTGGGGTATAAAGGTCTAGCTTTCATACCTCAATTTGGGACAATTTTTTGGGATCCCCTGAACTTCAGAACTTCCTGAGGGGGTAGGTTGAGGCATTTGTTGAAGTTGCTTAGCCACCCAACTTCCTCATCCACTCCTCCAAATCCCCCTCCCTAGGTGTGGATCCCAACAGCCCTCCCTAATAAACTTGCTGTGCCTCGATCTTGATCCGTAGGTCCCCTCACTGTTTTACTTCCCAAGGTTCTGGAGGGTGACTCATCAGTCAGCAATTTGGAGCAAAGAGTGTTCCCTGCATTGCACCTGGAGAGCAGCAGCAGGCAGGTTAAGCATACAGTGCTCCTCAGAACTCCACAGAGCTGCCCCACCCTGCACCATCGCTATGGCAGCTGCCTATGGACACTGGACTGTGACTCGTCAGTTCATGTCTGGTGCCCACACCGGACTGCTTTGCAGGACAGAATCCTTGCCTACCTTGCTCATCTCTGGTATGACAAATATTTCCAGGATGACTGAATGAAACAAGTCCTGAAAGGTAGCTCAATTCACAGTTGAAACTGACATCCAAAGAACTACCTGGCCCAAAGCAATCAGACTAGGAGGGGTGGAGCTGGCCCTTCTCCTCTGTTGTAGTGATGAGAAGTGGAACCCATGGAGATGAGAGGTCCCAACTTCTGCACTTAGAGCTCGGCTCCACAAATACAGAATAAAACACAAACTAGTCCCAACGGAAACTGAAGAGTGTACAGGGAAGGGCTGCCAACCAGGACGGCAGGTTGGCATCACCTAATGGCCGCCAGCAGAGGGAAGACAGAGTGTTCTCTGTAAGTGAGGCTGCTCCATGAAGCATGCCATCCTGCCCTGTACATTCCGAAGCCGGGGCTCCTGGCATGCGTGTTCACAGCCTTGAGCACTAGTGCAGACATGGCTGTTGGAACTCCAGAGGCAGAAAAGCGGTCCTGCTCCTGGGGCCACGCTGCCAGGAGTATCCGGGGGCCACCCCCTTCCCTGAGGCCGGGGCTTCCTTCTGTAAGACAGTGGCACCCAATGACCTCTATGGTTATTGGTTACTGGACTGTGGGCCTTGCAAGTTCTGATGCCCAGGTAGCATGTGAGCTGGGATTTGGGAGGCCCTGCATTTCAATCCCATCTCTGGCTGTGTGACTCGGATTCATGGCTGCCTGGATCTCAGGCTCCCAGTGGTTCAAAGCAGGGGTGGAAACAGGTCACCTGTCCACCGCTTCCTGCTGGGATAGTCTAGGAGTCTAAGCTTGCTTTTTGCTCCTAGGCTGTGCTATTCCCACTATCACAGCTTCTCGTGGCTTCCAGACGACAAACGTGTGTTGCTTGTGCCTGATGCGGGGAGGCTGGTGTGGAGGCTCTGCTCTTGGGGATAGGCTGGGCCTTCGGGGCTGGGCTTGACTCTTTGGGGTTCGCTCAGCTTTTGAGGGCTGGTTCGCTCAGCTTTTGGGGTTCGCTCAGCTCTTCGGGGCGAGGTGTGGCTCTTTGAGTGGAGTCTAGCTCTCTACTCCTGTAAGTAATCAAGTGAGGTAAATCTTTCCTTAACAGAGCAAAAAGCTCTGCTGATCTATGCTCTACCCTTTGGGACCGGGGTTGGCCCTTGGGGACCAGCTTCAGCTCCCCAGGGCTAGGCCCTGTGCTTCGGGACTGGGCTCAGCCATTTGGGACTAGGCTATTTGTTTTCTAAATGTCATATCGTTTTGTTCCTCAATCCCTCCATTACAGC